CTTCCTGGCCCTTGTAGAGGGGGTTTGGGAGCCTGGACTCCTGGGTTCTCTTCCTGGCCCTTGTAGAGGGGGTTTGGGAGCCTGGACTCCGTGTTCTCTTCCTGGCCCTTGTAGAGGGGGTTTGGGAGCCTGGACTCCGTGTTCTCTTCCTGGCCCTTGTAGAGGGGGTTTGGGAGCCTGGACTCCTAGGTTCCCTTCCTGACCCTTGTAGAGGGGGTTTGGGAGCCTGGAATTCCGGGTTCTCTTCCTATTTCTAGGAAATGGGGGTTGGGAGCCTGGATTCCTGAGTCCTAACATAGACCCAACAGGGGAGAGAATTGTGGTGATTGGCCCAAGCCAGACCCTTGAGTTGCTGGGAAGAGCATAAGGGATGGTGGTAAAAGAGGGAGACCTGGGTGGCAAGTCTCTTAATTCTAGTCTGCATTTAGAGAGTGGGATGTAGTCTGGTAATCAGTGCAGTAGGACTGGGAGTTGGGATTCCTGGGTTCAAGTTTGGCTCTGCCACTGATAGAAAAATACTTACGTTTAAATTTTTAGGCCCCAAAGGTTGAGGTGATGTTTTGAAGTTGAGAGTTTTATTGTGGGATCAGTTAGTGGTTGGTATGTCATGTGGGCCCTGTGCAGAACAAAGATTGACAGTAAACAGGGGGTCATGACTACACAGTTATATCCCAGAAAACAGTCATACAATCATAGGCGTGCATAGCACATTTCATTAGGGTGTGCACCTAGGGAATTTTATTTTTTATTGGCGAACATTTATTGAATACTCAATCATAAAGGACATGCTGCGAGTGAACGCGGGCTTTCTACATTCAGTGCTTATTGCATAATACGCAATCCATACTTTAAAACTAAAAGAGTTTATCCTGCAATTAAATTAAAACGCAAAGCCACTTTTTTTTGAGATATTAGGGTGTGCCTGGGCACACCTGGCACACCCCCTGCACACGCGTATGCATACAATCATAGAATCATAGAATACTAGGACTGGAAGGGACCTCGAGAGGTCATCAAGTCCAATCCTCTGCCCTCATGGCAGGACCAAATACTGTCTAGACTATCCCTGATAGACATTTATCTAACCTACTCTTAAATATCTCCACAGATGGAGATTCCTCAACCTCCCTGGGCAATTTATTCCAGTGTTTGACTACCCTGACCATTAGGAACTTTTTCCTAATGTCCAACCTAAACCTCCCTTGCTGCAGTTTAAGCCCATTTCTTCTTGTTCTATCCCCAGAGGCCAAGATTAACAAGTTTTCTCCCTCCTCCTTATGACACCCTTTTAGATATCTGAAAACTGCTATCATGTCCCCCCTCAATCTTCTCTTTTCTAAACTAAACAAACCCAATTCCTTCAGCCTTCCCTCATACGTCATCTTCTCTAGACCTTTAATCATTCTCGTTGCTCTTCTCTGGACCCTCTCCAATTTTTCCACATCTTTCTTGAAATGTGGTGCCCAGAACTGGACACAATACTTCAGTTGAGGCCTAACCAGCACAGAGTAGAGCGGAAGAATGACTTCTCGTGTCTTGCTTACAACACACCTGTTAATGCATCCCAGAATCATGTTTGCTTTCTTTGCAACAGCATCACACTGCTGACTCATATTCAGCTTGTGGTCCACTATAACCCCTACATCCCTTTCTGCCATACTCCTTCCCAGACCGTCGCTTCCCATTCTGTATGTGTGAAACTGATTGTTCCTTCCTAAGTGGAGCACTTTGACTTTGTCTTTATTAAACTTCATCCTATTTATCTAAGACCATTTCTCCAATTTGTCCAGGTCATTTTGAATTATGAACCTATCCTCCAGATTAGTTGCAATCCCTCCCAGCTTGGTATCATCTGCAAACTTAATAAGCGTACTTTCTATACCAATATCTAAATCGTTGATGAAGATATTGAACAGAGCCAGTCCCAAAACAGACCCCTGCGGAACCCCACTTGTTAT